ACTATGTGCTATGTGGACTTGTAAGTAGACAATGCAATTGGACTGAATTCATTTTGTTTCAGATATGCTACAAATTTTCAAACATGTACTACAGCTGTTGCTGTGGTAAGTAAAATAGCTAGCTACACTATTAGCTTATCTAGAGTATGAAAATGTTCAAGGTATAGTAGGAATATTCAACATATGGGGTTCAGAGCTGAGATGTAAGAAATAAGGTGGGAGTAGACTATGTGGACTTGTAAGTAGACAATGCAATTGGACTGAATTCATTTTGTTTCAGATATGCTACAAATTTTCAAACATGTACTACAGCTGTTGCTGTGGTAAGTAAAATAGCTAGCTACACATTAGCTTATTAGCTTACAATCAGTTAGTCCTAAAGGAATAGGGCATATGACAAATACATGTGTTTTGATTGGAATACCAATATATTAACTATGAAAGATTCTATTATAACACAGACTAGAAATCTGGGGCTAGAGAGATGTCTCTGTGGTTAATCTTGCAGAGGCCCCAGATTCAATTCCCAGCACCCAAATGGTGGCTAGAACCATATGTAACTCTAGTTCCAGGGGAATCCAATGCCCTCTTCTGACTTCCATGGGTATTTATTGTACAACATGGGTGCATTTACATACATGCAGTTAATATGCTTATACACATAAAATAAATAAATAAATTATATATATATATAATGCTATGTTCAATCAAAAGAAAATAAATATAGGTAGGGCAAGAAGGAAATATCGAGACTGGGGAAAGTGAGGCTAGTAGGGCAAGGTGGTTATTTAGTGTCAACAGAGAAGAGAAAATAAGTATAGAAACAAAATATAAGAATACTGGAAACACATTTTCCTTACTTTCCTCCCCTAGGTAGTCTCTAGTGAACTGATGCTGCAGCTGAGTAATGAGGCAGATGAAGTTACTTACTGGGAAAGGTGATAAAAGCCTGTCCCCTCATTCGTCCAGTCATCATTTGGAATTGAATGAGAGGCCCTTTTTTCTCCTGGAATCGAGCGAACAATGAGACAAGATCTCTTTCAGTTGCTTGAGGACTAAGGTTCTTCAGGTATAACACCTAATAGAAATTTAAAACCAATAAAAATATCACTTAAGGAAAGCAAGTCTTTCACTATGGCATTATGGTTCCAATTAGTTTTAGATAAAGATGGCAGTTTGAACATTCATCTAATTTTACTGTCTCCAGAACACTAAAAAATTGTAAGGACTTAAACCAACAAGGTCAGGAAGAACAAAGAAAGAAGGTAATACAACGATATTCCGGAAGACAGAAAATAGTTCGGTGAATAGGAACTGAGCACACTAAAGAATGCTCAATATTAAGCACACAGTATAGAAAAGCTAAGAACCCACCCAGCAGATACTTACAAATCTTCAGAGTCAGGTGTAGGCCGTGGAGATGGCTCAGTGGTAAAAGTGCTTACTGCACAAGCACAAGGACCTGGTTTCAAATTCCTGGCCTCCATGCAGAAAACTAGGTAGATCCCCAGAGCTTGCTGGCCAGTCAGTCTAGCCAACTGGTGGGCTCTGACCTCAGGGGAGAGACCTTGTCTTAAAAAGTAAGGTGGAGAGAGAGAGGGGAAGATACCTGATGTCGACCTCTGGTCTCTCTGTAGATGCACATATATGTACATGATCATCCGAACAGACACACACATACAAACATGCACTCACCCATAATACACACACTAATACACACACACACACACACACAAATAATAACAGAAAAGTAGTGCAGTGGTGTGAATCTATAGTTCTACCAACTAGAGAACCCGAGTTGGGAGAACAGAGGCTAGACTGGGCAATGCAGTGAGTGCTTGTCTCAAAAAACAAAACAAAACAAAACAAAAACAAAAAACAAAAAGAAACAAGTGAAAAGGAAGGAAGGAAGGTTGGTACAACAGTTGTAGAACAGATAGCTTCAGGTGACTCTACAAATGGATGTAACCAGATAGGGTTAAAATGAGGATGGTATGTTGAAGGTTGTTTTAAAAATGAAATATATCTTTACCCTCCTCCACAATATACTGGGTAAGGGCAACTCGCCAATCCTGGTACAATACTGGAGGTTCATTGTCAGAAGATGGGGAATGCCATGCATAGCTGAGGTCAAGAATACTGTTTCTGAAAGCAAAGAGACTGAGAAAGAATGCATACTAAAATAAATACTGGGAACACCCAGGATTTCACCACCATTCCTCTATGTGAACACTAGAAGGACTTTTCCAAGAAAGTACTTGGAACAGTTTCCTCTAGGGAAACTAAGCCCCGGGAAAGACAAAACTAATGACTTGGAATGGGGGAGTTCTCCAACAATGGCCCAACCAGATTATCTGGTTTGCTCTTTTTACTGTTGTTATTGTTGTTTGGAGACAAAATCTCAGTATATATCGCAGGATGGCCTAAAACTCACAATCCTTCTGCTTCAGCCTCCCAAGTGCTGAGATTACAGCATGTCACCTTGAAGTGTAGTAGGTCAAAGTCCACAAAGGCCATTCATGTTCAGAGAGATTCTAAACATCTTCATAATCCTTACTCACAAAGGCTTATCAGGCATATGAGAAAAGCTTCTAATGTGAAAGACACAGACCAGAAAAAACAAACAGAAAACAGAACAAATGAGAAAAAACAGAGACCATGATGGAGAGAAAAATTTTAAAAACTGCAACTAATATCCTCAGAGAAATAAGAGAATATATTCTATCAATTAGGAACAGGGAACTATTACATTTTTTTTAAGAAGTGCTCTTATATGTGACTTAAGTCATTATCGGCTGAAGACAGATTGTTTAACTTGTAGTAATCACAAAGAAAGTACCTGAAGAAAATATATAGAGGGAAACTAGAAAGGAATGAATGTTCACTGACAGATGAATGGGTTAAGAAAAAGCAGTGCATACATAGAACGGAATTTTCTTAACCTTTAAAAGAAAAAGTCCTATTTAGAATAAAAGTTCCTGGGAAGGAACTGCACCTTACATTGAACCTTCTGAAAGGCTGATTAACCCATTAGAACTCAAATGACTAGAAAGGTTGTAATCCTGCAGACTCAGGGCCCAATGACAATATGTTGGGCTATCTTTAGCCCCCCTAATAGCCATGCCTTGCTTGCCTCTGTGGCTGCTGACTTAACATCCTTATGATGAACAAGTGAAACTTCTGGATATAACAGACCACTAGCTTCCACGAATGAAAAAGCTAAGAATGTCATTAGACAGCATTTGAGGCTTAGAGCACAGACATCTCCACTTGCTGTAACCCATGTACCTAATGTTTCCAGCAATGTATTTGAAAATGTCTTGATTTATGACATTTTCGTTCTGTTACTATAAAAACTTCTTCAAAGTGCTACCATATTGAAACATGGAATAGCCCTTCTGAGAAGAGAGTTGTATTTTTGTGTTCATAGAGTATAACAAAGATAACTGTTAGGATTATATGCTAAGCAAAATAAGCCAGTCACAGAAGGACAAATATTACATGATTTTACTTAGTTAAAGCATTCAAAGTAGCCGAATTAATCAAACCACGAAGTAGAATGGTGGCAACTGGGGCTGGGAGGGGAAATGGGACAGTTGCTTCAGTCATACAAGATGAAAAAGCTCTATATATCTGCTGTCCAATACTGCACTAAAAGTCAGAAAGACAGTTATAAAGACTTAAAATTTTGCTAGGAAGGTAGATCCAATGTAGTTTTTAAACACAACACAAAAAAGAAAATATCACAACATCAAAAAGGATGGAAGGGCTGGAGAGATGGCTCAGCAGGTAAGAGCACTGAATGTTCTTGCAGAGGACCTGGGTTCGATTCCCAGCACCCACTTGCAGGCTAACAATCATCCGCAATTCCAGTTTCAGGAGATCCAATGTCCTCTTCTGACCTCCAAGGGCATTGCATGATATAGGTGTACTTAAATACATACAGGGAATACATTCATACATGTAAAATAAAAATAATATTTTTTAAAGGATGGAAGAAAAAAATTATTTATAATATTTTTAGCTTAAAGGAATTAGGGAAGAATTCAAACTAGAAGAGCAAATGCAAATAGCTAGAAAATACAGCTCACTTAAATGCCAAAGTCACTGAAATCCATGAATAAATACATTAAACAGTATTAAGAAGTAAAATCTTTGTCTCAAAATGTTAGCCACAGAAAGGAGTATATGCAGATTCTCAAGTTTCTCATCAACTAGGAAAGATCCATGCACATTATACCTTTGGATGAAAACATTTTTAAAAATAAGAAGGACTTCTGATAAAGAAGCTGTGTTAACTCTTGTTTGGTTACATGCTCTTTGCTACAAAAAATACATGCACATATTCATAGGTACAAATATATGCATGTGTATATCTATAATATATAGATATTTATACCATACACACAGAGAGAGAGAATGAAAGAATATTGGTAAGCTTTAAAACAAGATATACTTGTAAAACAGGAAAAAAAGAATCTCTAACAATAGAGAATGCAGTTCTTTCTGATATCAATACATAGTACTGAGCTGTACATTATGAAATTTATATAAATAGTATAATACTGTATGCATTCTTCCGTAGTTTTTAGAAACCCTTGTAAATTTGACTTTACTTTTTACAACAGTTTCACATTTACAGAAAAATGTAGATTAAAGAGAATTGCCATATACTCTGCATCCAGTTTCTTATTCAGCATCTTACATTAGCACGTTCCATTATTATTGAGTCCACTGATTATTTAGAGTGCCTTGGTTTTTACTCAATGTACTTCCTCTGCTCTAAGGCATCATTCAGGTTACTACATTTCTTTCAGCTGCCATGTGTCTTCAAGATCCTCTGGTAGTGTTTCAGACTTTCCTGATTTTTAATGATCTTGATGGTTTTAGGACTCTTATTGGTCAGACTTTTATAGGATATCCTGCTATTTGAATTTTTCTGTTATTTTTCTTAAGGTTAGATTGGAGTGGTGAGTATTGGGAGGAAAACTGCCTGGAAGAATACAGTTTTGATCCCAGAATATGAAGCATAAATATTAACAACACTGATTTGTGACTGGTGATGTTGGCTTTCATCACTTGGCTGAGGTAGTGTTGGTCAAATTTCCATTACCTGTTTGCCTGCCTTTCCGTATTGTGTTCTTTATTAAAAAAAAAAAAAAAAAAAAAAAAAAATGCCAAAAGGGGAAAACAAAAAAAAACAGGGGGGGAGCATACCCCAAAAGATAAGCTTCTCTTTTTTGACATGAGCGAATCACAACTAACCAGGAGGGAAGTTCACTCCTAAGATGTATGTCTTCTCTATTTACTCATTTAAAAATTTTTTAGGATTTGGACATAGAGGTATTAATTCTGTATTTTGAGTCATTATTTAAAATTAATTATTTAGCTTGCTGCGCAGACAGTTCTAGCTTTGATTATTGGACATTTTCTGTCAGTTCCTGTGTTTTATGTTGTTATTTTACTTTCTGGCACAGTAAGATGTACAAGGCTAATCTTGTATATTTCCTGCCTGACAGAATCACCTATTTATTTCTTCAAAGATCCCTGGTTCACTTTACAAGAGAATGGTATTAGAAGTCATCAATCCTTAGGAAGAGCAAGTTTGCTTTGTTTAGTCCTGTTCATCTCAAGGAGAAAAAAAATGCTCACACTAACCTGTATATATACACAGATAAACACTTCTACCTGTAAACCATGTGTAGCTGCCTAAGTCAAATATGAATACATACTGATGCTTCCAAATCTAAACTATTACCACATGGATCATGTTAAATTCCTCCTTTTATTTACCTATAAATTCCAACAGTAAGAATCTTAGCTTCTACCATCTGCCAACCATTTACTTATTACACTCCATTATGCATGGACAGCAGGATCGGATCAGCATTGTTAGCTAAGGGACACAACATCAGCACCTAGGAGGGGGTGCTTGCATCCAGTTTCCATTTGTCTTTAGTCTTTAAGACTATATCGCTTTATTGAGATTTCTAATACACTAAGATTTTTCATAGTCTGTATTATTTCCTGAGATTCTCCAACCTTCTCAATGATTTTTAAGTATTTTTACACATTATG